GTACTGGTTGATTTCCAATAGTACAATTTCCTAACTCTTTGGAATTGAAGAATGCATGGGAAAAGAAGGAGAAGAAATACTAAACAAAAATTTTGAAAGAATAATAGAAATATTTATGGAGAATAAACTTGTTATAACAAATATAAAATTTAAAATTGTTCTGAAGCTATTTTCTTGTGGCATTTTAAATTAATTACTATTTAACTGGGAATAAGCCACAATTAAAGATAAAAATACGTTTATTGACGTTTCAATTTCCACTTCGTTGGAATCTCAAAATACAAACCGTTTGTATTTTGAGAACGATTTCCGCTCTCAGAACTTTCTAGCTTCATTCTGTTGGTTTATACTTTTAATTTCGTCAACACGCTGAAAAATCTTTCTTGTTTTCTCACAGGAGAATATTTGAGACCATCTTTGCTTCCCTATACCTATCACTGCTTTGTTTTGTATCTCTCTGCAAAAATTGTTTTCTATATATGCTTTCCTTGCATTCATAATCAAATCATTTCGCGTTCCTTTCTTTCTTTCTTATTACTATTATCTTCCTTGCAGTTACTTCGATTATCGTTTTGGGTAGTTCATCGTTCACCCACAAGAATGAAACTTGAAATTTTCACCTAGTTTTTCTTGGTATCTCGCAGCACACTTTATGTTCCACTTATTATTCTTACGTCTTTCATCATTACTTACCGTTGCTAGATTCTCTCGGAAAAGCACTCGCAGCGTTCATTACACTTGGAAAAATGCTTTGTAGGTAATAAGACGTGCTAGATCTGCTCACAACACTAGTTCCGGGTTCTACAACCCAAGTTTCTTTATAAATATTTTTATGCTTTTTGTCACTGACCTCTTACTCTCGGAAGTTGTCCAAGAAGACATCAATTGCGGAGAGTACTGTTCAACTAATGATATTAGGAATCGCTAAAATGATGTGCTGTAGGGAGCCATTATTTATACAAATGTTAAGAATAGTTTATGATGTAGACTTCTGGTAGTCTGTCGGATGAAATAATGTTTCCAGTTAAGGCCCAACAGTCTTTGGTGATCTCAAAACAGCTAATCTTTGTAATATTTTCAATATTGCAATATACGATTATAACTTTCGTCTTCTTTGTTGAAATATCACAACGATTAGCATTTCAAGTTTTTCTTCAAAAGTGTGTAAAAGCATTATTTATAATGTTACTAGTAAAAATTAATTAGTAGTAATAATAATTTACTTTCCAACTTACAATGCAAATCTATTTACTTTATACCGGAACACATATGACATCATTGATAAAATAAAAACGTATTTTATATTCAACTCATGATTTGGCCACAACTTTTCAATATTTTAATTATCACTTTACCGAACTGTCCATTTTTAGTTATAGTTATCTAGAGCGTAATTTGTTTTGTCCGATTTGTAAAATTTCAGTTTTGGCAGTTCTACAGACGGTATATTTAATATTAAATAGGTTTGCATAAGGCGTCTTCAATTGCAGGTATGCGCGATAGAACAGCGGTGCGGCTTTGCGCAAGCGTTTTGTTTTTGTTTATTATAGCCAATAACGCAAAATGGACAGTCACGTCTAAACTAAATTCATGAAATATTGAAACCTATAAAATACGTTTTTCAAATGGGTATTAACAAAGTTTTTTTTTAGCTCAATTCTTTGGTCAAATTTTCTTAATTGCTACTTTTATGAAAATATCAATTGTTATTTGAAAAGTATTTGTAGATAATCATTTTGCCTCTATTCTGTACAGTGTCAAGATCATAGGATAGCTGTTAAACTAGTGCTGTTTTTCTTTTGTCTTATTTTATCCTGAGTACATTACATGGTGTGGACTCATTAGTATTATTATTACCCAATAACTTTTAAGTTTATGTGGCTAAGAATACAAAATCAATACTTAGTACTTACTTTCCGTGTCCGGAACAATAACAGCTTTAAATTTTGTATTTCCAATGGTTAGCCACATGGATGGCCCTGTCATTCGCTAAGAATAGGTCTTCTTCTGTACAGGTCTCTCATCTCTGTGCATGATAGTAGATGTGACTATTCTGAACCGCGCCTCAATCGCAGGTATCATCCTCCTGGTATCCCCATTTCTTCAGGTTACTAGTACAACGTGAAACGCCAGTTCCTAGTCTGTTTAGTGCTTTCCATGTGGAATATGGCAAATTGTGTCCAGCGGCCATTTCTTCTGAGGTAGCAAAATGTGTTGTAGCTGACGCTTGCCATTGGTGTACTCGGCGCGTCTTTGGCTCTTCGGGAAGGCATTGTGATTTTTTCAGAAAGCTTTTCCGAGATTTTAATCTACTTGGCTGAACTTGGTGGTCATACAAGGGCTGTCTTCGATCCGTCTCCTGCTTCTTTCGTTCTATCTCCGACATGACCTGTCTTCTAATAATAGGTAGATCTCTTCGATAGGTGTCGGTTTCAGGTAACCAGATATTATACAAAACGTTTCATTTAACGCAACATCGACGTTTTTAGCGTGTGCAGAGTTTTTCCACACTGGTGCTCCAAACTCGCCGGCAGAAAATCATAATGCTAAGGCAGAAGTACGGAGAGTGTGTGTTTGTGCTCCCCATTTTGTATTTGTTAGTTTGCGGATGATATTATTTCTGGCGCTTACTTTTTTCTTGATATCTTGGCAGTGATCTCGATAAGACAGAGTTCTATCCAGATGTACCCGGAAGTATTTTAGCGTCTCATGTGTTTCAGCATCTGACCACGCCATTCCACCCCAGTGTCCTTCGGGCATTCTTGTTTGTAAGGTGGAAAACACACACCTGGGTTTTTATAGAATTGGGTTTCAGATGGTTTTCGTCATAGTATAGTGCTAAGTCTTCTAGGGCATCTGTCAGTTTTACTTTTAGTTCATTGAAGGAACTTCCTTGAGCTGCCACAGCTGTATCATCCGCGTAAATAAACTATCTTGTTTGTTGGTTTTTGGGTTGGTCGTTGATGGAAATGTTGTATAACAATGGCGCGAGGACACTTCCCTGTGGGAGTCCATTTTTTTGATCCCTCTACCGACTGTTCTTGGACTGGAGCGTTACGTAGAAGCGTCTATTCTGGAGAAGACATTTCATTAACCTTGTTAGTCGTAAATCCTTTGTAATTTCGTAGAGTTTGACCAGCAGCCGTTGATGATTAACTGTGTCATAGGCAGCAGTCAGCTCTATGAACGCTACTCCTGGTATTTCTTTCCGTTCAAACCCATCTTCTATATTGTGGGTGAGATTAAGAGTTTGACTGCAGTAGCATTTTCTGGATCTAAATCCTGCTTATTCAGGAATAATTTCAGTGTCTACAGATTCAGCGATCCGGTTCAGTATCATTCTTTTGAACTCCTTGAAAAGGTGACACAAAAGAGAGACAGGTCTAAAACTCTGTATCCACCGAATCCTTTCCTGGTTTTAAGAGGGACACCACTCTAATTTTCCTCCACATTTTGGGAATTTGGAATGTACGGACGCAACAGTTCATCATTTTTTACGAGCCACTCTAGAGTTTTGGTCCAAAGTGCTTTATTTGTTCTTTTTGCATATCGTCTAGGCCAGCCGCTTTATAATCTTTCATATGCTGGATCGCACCTCTTATCTTCTCCAGACAAAAGGAGGTACCTAGAACATCAACCTAATAAACCTTTTAAGTAGAGGTTTAGATTTTTCATTTAGCTCCGCTATGTATTCAGTTCGGCAATCTCTAGGAATATATTTTCGTGATATTTGTTTTACGATTTGTACAAATTTATCGTATGAATCAGAGCACGGCTCTAGATGGGAAACTTCTTGATCTAATATTTCAGCGAATTTTTCCCATTTTGCTTTAGTGAAATTGAACCTTCTCTTGAAAGGAACAATTTCGTATCTGATTGCCGCGTTCAAGAAGCAAGTTATTGGTCTGTGTTGTATTTTTGGAAGGGCGCTTCCAAAAATTGTTGTCACCTGGTCTCCAATGCTGTCGCTGACAAATGTATTGTCTGGGTTGTAACCTCTGCGCCATCTTCCGCTGTTAAAAGACGTGCGCTGTTTTGGATCATGAATAAGTTTGAGGTTCATGTTTTCAGCCTAATTTTCTAGTTCTTCGCCATTGGAGTCTGTTTCGTTATATCCCCACGCGATACTGTGACAGTTGAAGTCACCCAGGATGAATTTTATTTGCAAAAACAAAGTCAGCGTTTGGCGGTTTGTAGATGGACGTTACCGTACAAGACTTTAGTTCCACTGTGAGGATCTCGATGTCATCTCGATATGTTAAAGATGTGGAAACTATGTCGGTATCTGGTCTGACGAAGACTGTGCTACCATTCTGATCGTGTGGTCTCTCCAATACAAGTCTCATATCTCGAATCCTTGGTGGGCGGCTTGCAATACCTCGATGGATTTCTTGAAGCAGTAGGACATCGACACCGTATTCTCTGCACATATTAAACAGTAGATCTTTTTTATTTGTTGATAGTCCTTCAATATTAATTGAAGTAGTCATCAAAGATGGCCTTGACAAAGACCGTTTAGGTTACGTTTGCATCTGTGTTGGTGCACCGGTGGGGCACCAACACAGATTAACACAGATTTAGGATTAACCGACATTATTCGTTTCCATGGGACGCCCGATTGCTTTTACATGTGATCGCAATCTACGTGGAGGCTCCTTCCATGCCCCACTACTTAGTACTACAATAAATAAATGAAAATAAACCTCAAGTGAAATTTTCCAAATATATATTTTTCCTAGATTTCTAATCTACTACATTATTATTTTATTACATAACAGTCCTGATACATTAATTGCAAGTTTTTTTTCAGTCTAACGCTATCAAATCTTTAAATGAGCAATAACAATTGACATTAATTAAAAAATATTTATTTGAGCATTTTGCAAGTTTGTACCAAAAGAAATTTTAAAAGTGGAAAATATTTCTGTAACCTTGGAATACTGTATTGCTGCAGATATGATCTTGATCTATGTGTATTAATATAATATTTTTTTCTCAAGCTGGCGGTCATTTTCCACCATCGATGCCATCGTATACTCAAGGGACTTACACATGTACGCATCTTCCAACAAATGTAGTATAATATAAGGATACAGGTGGCGCTTTTTGCGTAATTTAAATTTTCTAGTCCATGATGTTGCTGAATTGGCGCTGTTTGCGTATACTTTGTAAATTTGTTATATCGCTGCATCCTCATTTCTCTTAATCACACTATATCATATCGCTAGCATAATAACATATGACTAGCATATAGAAAATCCGCAGAATTGTAAACGAAAACTAAATTGTGAGCACAATAAATTAAACAAAGAACACTTGAATATCTAGAAACACGGTAAGTACCGTCTATTTTAATGGATTTTCCAGCGAAAAATAGACAGCAGGAGGGGGAAGACTCGTGGCTCCACAATCTGCGGAAATGGTTGAAGCCCACATCGGTCAAACTATTCAGAAGTGCCGTAAGCAAGATCTGAATTGCCATGTTAATAGCCAGCATTTGCAGCGGACTGGGCACAACAGCAACAAATGCCTAATCTCTGGAATGACGAAAAAAGATTTTATGTTTATAAAGAAAAAAAGAATAGGCCAGGAATCTGACCGGAATCAGAGCAGGTTGTCCTCATCATCATCAATGGTGCTACAGCCCTATGAAAGAGCCTCGACCTTCCCAAGTCTATTACGCCAGGCAGTCCTATCCATTGCCAACCGTTGCCAGTTTGCTGCGCCTATCTTTCTACCATCCTCATCTACACCATCCTTCCATCTGAGTTTTGGCCTACCCCTTTTTCTGCTTCCCACGGGTTGTGGCATAAGGATTCTTCTAGGAGGGTTGTTCTGCTGTGATCTTGCTAGATGTCCTGCCCATCTTAATCTTCCTATTCTTATAAGAGATACTATGTCTTTATCACCAAATATTTATTTATATCTGTGGTATACCTCGTAGTTGTATCTCCTCCTCCAAACACCATTTTCACAGATGCCACCAAATATTCCTCTCAGGATCCTTCGTTCAAATATAAGCAAAAGGTCTTCGTCTGCCTTGGAGATGGTCCATGTCTCCGATCTATATGTCAACACTGGCTGTATAAGGGTTTTGTATATAGTTATTTTTGTTTTTTGGCTTAAGTTTCTACTTCTCATATGTCTACTCAGTCCAAAATAGCATCTGTTTGCCATTACTATCCTTCGCTTGATTTCTTCCGTTATGGCGTTCTCTTTGGTGATCAGGGAGCCTAAGTATGTGAATTTGAGCAGGTTGTCCTACTCTTATTTAATATGCGAAAAGTATGGAAAAAATATGTTTCATAATATCAGATATCTTGATGAATTAAATTATTCGTCGGCGACTTCAGGATGATGGAAAACACAGATGCTTGTAAAACTTTAATTCATCGATTAAGCTCTTGACAACTTCAAAACATTTAGTTTGTTACACTTATCATCATCATCACCCAGCCTTTTGCGTCCACTGCTGGAAATAGGCCTCCCTCATTTTTGTCCATTGTGTTCTATTTTGAGCACTCTTGAGAAAGAACGAAACTACTAAGTATGTCGGAAATACATTGCTGAAAACTATCTACATCTGATGATTTCATCCATGGTTTTGATTTGTTCTTCTTTTTAATCATCATATAGCTCTCCTTCTTTAAAGTAAGTCTTTCGTCAGATAGTAGGGAACGTGCATTATATGTTCCTATATAAAGTGTCGTCTTATTCGGGTAACTTTTTCTGTCTTTGTCAATTTTTTGTCCCCACAGAATCCTTGGGACAGACCGATAATTTATCAGTACAAGATTCTGGAAATAATTTTCTACTTGCCTGGGGTATTTGCGTGTTTTCAACTGACATTTTCGTGAGGGGTATTTAGCCTTTAAACAACACGCTGGCTAGACGTGTTGGTGAGTGTTTGTTCCAGCCGCCCATTCTGGGTCCGACGCTGTTTGCGGCCACCCACTCTGGATCCGCCCGCCATCTTCGCCGTACCGAAAATATTTCTTCGTCGCCTTGAATGCCATTCTGGACTTCATCCGTGGCCCTGGACAAGGGACCCTTAGCAGGTGCTAGCTTCCCGGGTCGAGAAGCTCCTGCAATCTGCGAATGGCAGGGATCGATTCACTTTCCCTGATAGGACTATCCAATATAATCCAAAGGAGTTCCTACCCGCTACCCCTGTTCTTACACTACAATTAAAATATTAAAACATCTGAAAAAATTATCACAAGAATGCAATGACTATATAGATTAAAAAGTAACCTAAGCCGTTTCTATCTACTACATTGAACATAAATGAATAACACAAGGAACTCAAGTTTCGCTATTTCGCAAAAATACAGAATCGGCGAATTACAATTTATTAATGACCAGTGTATTTTGATGATATGATATAAATATATCTTGTATTGAATAAAATTAAGATCGATTTTAAAAATATCAAAAGAAAAACTGGCCTCGCATTTGTTGCTCTTCTCATATTTTTACTAAAATGCACACTCGTTACATTTTGTACTTATAGATGCATAGCTGTATAAGCTGCTTAAATTTTTATTTAAGCTTCAAGTATGGGTAAGTACAGCTTATTTCCAAGCGTAATAAATTGATGATGGCGTAAATGTATATATACTTAGTTAGATGCGCTGCGCCGCGTATTTATGTGTGTTCACAAATATTAAAGTACTTTTTGGTGTAGGGTTTTCAAAAGGATGGAAGGAAACGTTTATGAGCGGTGAGCAAGAACCGTGGGTGTTCAGAGGAGGTTTAACTGCGGATTTACAGGTAAGTGTTTAATTCAAATAGCGAGGAAACTGGTATATTCATATTTTTCGACATTTTGCATTGATATACAATAGTGATGTTTGTTTTTAGAGACTATATACATGAACATCTCCTTCACATACAGAAAACCACGTTGAAAAATGTTAAAACTTATCCTTGAGCAGATGTTAACTCAGACCACAATCCGTTAGTTGCTGACGTGAAAATAAAATTAAAAAGAATTGAACTCAGAAAACAACAAACAAAAATTAATGTAAGAATGCTAACAAACATATTGATTGAGCGATGTCGGGATGTAAACGTTGATTTACACTTGTAGACTTAGACTTAGTGCAAACATTATATTGGAACGAAAGTGCCATAGTTAAAATTGATGGGCAACACTCAGAAGAAATGAAGATCTATAGAGGAGTTAGACAGGGATGTGTTTTATCGCCACTTTTGTTTTACTTATATTCTGAAGATTTTTTCCAAAACACGCTCAATAATATCAAAGCGGGAGTTACCATTAACGGAAAATTAATTAACAACTTACGATATGCAGACGACACTGTGATTATAGCAACGAGTATAGAAAATCTACAACATATTATCGAAAGCTTAAGTATGAATAGTGCTGAGATGGGAATTACTATAAACGCTAAAAAAACGAAATACATGTTGATTACAAAAAGGTCACAAAATATACATTACCTATTGACAATCAATGGTAACGTGATAGAACAAGTAGAAAAATATCCGTACTTGAAAACTTTGATCAATGATACCAATGATCATACTGCAGAAATAAACAAGCGAATAGAGATTGCCAGATCAAGCATTTATACGAATGGAGCCACTCCTAATGTGCAAAAATCTAAATTTGGAGATCAGATTACGTACCATTCGTTGTTATATATTTTCAATATTATTATATGGAGCTGAGACTTGGACATTAAAAAAATTAAGTACAGAGTATTAAAAATATCATGGATTGATAGGATTACAAATAAAGAAGTACTGGAGAAGGTTGGTAAAGAAACAGAACTAATCACACTATTCTTCTTTGCGTGCCATATCAGAATTATCCGACGGTGGCGATCACCATTGCGAAGGCTTCTCGATCTTCTGCAATATAGAATAATTGTCCTGCATTTGGTATCTGAGTCCATTCACGAATGTTTGTTAACCAAGAAACTTGTTTTCTTCCTTTGACTTTGCCTTTGAATTTGCCTTTAAGGATCAGTTGTAATATTTTATATCGACTTCCCCTTACTATATGTCCCAGATAAGACATTTTTCGATGTTTAACTGTATTTAGCAGTTCTCTATCTTTGTTGACGCTCCTTAGTACTTCTTCATTAGTTTTCCTTGCTGTCCAAGGTATCTTCAGCATTCGTCTATGAACCCACATTTCCAATGCTTCAATTTTGTTCATGATCGATACTTTTAGCGTCCACACTTCTGCAGTATACAAAAGTACGGAGCAAACATAGCACTTAACCATTCTTTGCCTTAGTTCTAAACTGAGATGGTTATTGCAAAGAAATGACTTCATTTTCATAAAAGTCATTGCTATTCTACGTTTTATTTCTATGTCTGGATCTAGTTGGTCCATTATCACAGTTCTCAAATATGTCATTTTGCATCGGGATGTGGGTCACGACTAAACACTAAAAACTTGGTTTTGTTTGACTTTATTTTAATGCCCATTTTCTCTCCTACCTCGTGAATACGATCAAGCAGAATTTGAAGACCTTTAATATTATCTGATAGAATAACTGTATCGTCTGCATATCTAATCACATTAAGTAGTTCCCCGTTGATTTTTTTTCATATGGTTGTCTTTCAAGTGCCTTTTTAAATAACTGGTCCGAGTGAACATTGAACAATGTTGGCGACAAAATGCAACCTTGTCTTACTCCTCGTTGTATAGGGATTTCATCGGTGTAGTTATCTCCAATTGTTACGATAGCAGTTTGATTCCTGTACAAATTTTTAATGAGACGAATATCCTTGTCATCTATTCCGATATTTTTCAATATTTGCATTAATTTTACATGCTGTACTTTATCTGAATAATACAAGAAAGGAATTCAAACCAAGGCTCAGACTATGTAAGGATAAGGAGGGGCATATACTAAATACAAAAGAAGAAGTACTGAAAAGGTGGGTGGAAACTTTAAAGAACTACTTACTATAGAAGTAGAAGATCCAGATCCAAATCAACCACCCGCAGGAGCAAGCAACAATTTACCATTAGAGCCTCCGTCAATTCAAGAAGTACGAGATGCAATAAAACACCTAAAAAACAATAAATCTCCAGGAAGTGATGGTATACCCGCGGAACTTATTAAATGTGGAGGTGCTGCTGTGACTAATCAAATATATAAAATAATATTGAGAGCCTGGAATGAGGAACAAATCCCGGAAGAGTGGTGTATTGGAATCGTTTGCCCGCTACACAAAAAGGGTGACCAATTGGAATGTAAAAACTATAGGGGAATAATCCTCCTTAATACAGCATACAAAATATTTTCGAGGATCTTATATGGTCGCCTAAGTGCATATTCAGAGGAACTTCTCGGGGAATATCAAAGTGGCTTTAGGTCTGGTCGATCAACAACAGATCAGATCTTTGTGCTAAGGCAAATACTGGAAAAAACCAATGAATTCAATATCGATACATACCATCTTTTTGTAGACTTCAAATCTGCCTATGATAGTGTCATAAGAAATAAATTGTATGAAGCCATGAATTAATTCCACATCCCCGATAAACTGATAAGATTGGTTAAGGCTACAATGCGTAATGTGGTTTGCAAAGTCGAAATACAGGGCGAACAATCACAGGCGTTTGGAACGCATGTTGGGCTACGACAGGGAGACGCGCTGGCGTGTCTCCTTTTCAACATAGCACTGGAAAAGGCGATCAGAGATGCCCGAATAGACAACAGAGGAAATATTTTTAATAAAACATCCCAAATTTTGGCATATGCAGATGATGTGGATCTAGTTGACCGCACAACACACAAGCTAGAAGAAATGTATACCACCTTCTCAAATGCCTCAAAATCTATGGGCCTGCAAGTAAATGAGGAGAAAACTAAGATGATGGCATCAACACCCAACAATAGAGTCAGGAAGATCGATCCCCAATTCACGGTTAATAACTCTACCTTTGAAGTGGTGGACAAATTCACATACTTAGGCTCCCTGATCACCAAAGAGAACGCCATAACGGAAGAAATCAAGCGAAGGATAATAATGGTAAATAAATGCTATTTTGGACTGAGTAGACATATGAGAAGTAGAAACTTAAGCCAAAAAACAAAAATAACTATATACAAAACCCTTATACAGCCAGTGTTGACATATGGATCGGAGACATGGACCATCTCCAAGGCAGACGAAGACCTTCTGCTTATATTTGAACAAAGGATCCTGAGAGGAATATTTAGTGGCATCTGTGAAAATGGTGTTTGGAGGAGGAGATACAACTACGAGGTATACCACAGATATAAACAAATATTTGGTGGTAAAGACGTAGTATCTCTTATAAGAATAGGAAGACTAAGATGGGCAGGACATCTAGCAAGATCACAGCAGAACAACCCTCCTAGAAGAATCCTTATGTCACAACCCGTGGGAAGTAGAAAAAAGGGTAGGCCAAAACTCAGATGGAAGGATGGTGTAGATGAGGATGGTAGAAAGATAGGCGCAGCAAACTGGCAACGGTTGGCAATGGATAGGACTGCCTGGCTTAATAGACTTGGGAAGGTCGAGGCTCTTTCATAGGGCTGTAGCACCATTGATGATGACTTTATCGAATGCCTTTTCGAACTCCACGAAATATGCAAATACATATTTTCTGTGGTCACGGCATTTTTGTAATAGGATGTTAAGCGCAAAAAGTACCTCCCTGGTTCCCAAAGCTTTTCTAAAACCAAATTGGGTATCTTCAAGATCTTCTTCGCATTTGCGTCTAATTCTGTTGTGAAGTATTCTGAGGAAAATTTTAAGAGTGTGACTCATTAGGCTAATTAATCGATATTCTGAGCATTTTCTTGCATTGTGTTTTTGGGTATTGCGACAAAGATGGATGGACCACAAGCTTTTCTAATTTTAGCATTATTTATAGCGTGTTCTACCTCGCATTTCATAATTTTTGGGCCGTGAGTATAGTTTTGGTAGAATTCGGCAATATTATTCCTGTCATCTTCAAACAACTCTGATATATACAGCTGACATTCTTTTCTTATTTCGTGCTCATTTACAATAATTTTGTTATTGGTGTCAACAAGTACAGAGGGAACTCGTTTTTTAAATATATTACTCATTTCTTTCAATTTTTTGTGCACATTAAATAAGTCGTGTTTAGATATTACATCCTGCATTTCGTCGCACCTTTCATCCATTTTTCTTTGGTTAATTTGATCTCCTTTTTTATTCTTTTCTGCAGGTGTCTATATTCAGATTTTATCAGTCGACGTTGTTCCATCAATTTCAAGATGTCGTCTGTCATCCATTTATTTTTCTTGATTAAATTTTTTTTATAATCATTGTTTGTGGAGATTTCGTTACCTTGGTTTTTAAATTCACTCCATAGTTCTTCTTGGATCTTCTAGTTGTTCTCCGATGTTTTTATTCAATTGTTAACTTCTTTTTTAATGTTATGTTTTATGTTTATATCGTCAAAGTTAAGTTCATTGGTTTTTGGTTTTTGTCGCTGAATTCGTTTTAACCTTAGTTTAATATCTGCTACAAGTGGTTGATGATCAGATCCAATATCTGCCCCAGGATATATAGTCTATTTGATTTCTTGAATATTTAGGGTTTTCATCATCAAATGGGGCTTTCCAAGTGTATAATAGTCGTCGCTTGGGTAGTTTATATCACTTGTTTGCAATGATGATATCAATCTCTGTCCTCGATCGTTAGATTGTCTTAGACCATAAGGACCTACAGTCTGACTTCGCCGACCTTCCCCAATTTTTGCATTGCAGTCGCCTATAATATATAAAATTTCGTGTTTATTAAGTTTCTGTAAGATGTCTTGGATCTGATCATACAACTTCTCGACTTCATCGTCATATTTTCTATCTGCAGTCGAGGCATACCTATATCACCACTATACAAACCAGAAAACTGGAATACCTAGGCCACGTGATGAGGAGACCAAAATATGAAATTATGAGATTCATAATACAAGGAAACATTCAAGGAAGAAGATCTATTGCCGAAGGCAGAACTCATGGTTGAAGAATCTATGTGATCGGTATCAATGCAGATCGATTGAGTTGTTCAGAGCAGCAAGTTCAAAAATGAAAATAGCCATTATGATTGCCAACCTCCGTAGGGAGACGGCACTCTAAGAAGAAGAAGGTATTCTGGGATTCGTTGCCATAAATTTAATAAGTACTGGGGCCTGCCCAATTTCTAAATCCTACCAGTCCAGGGTTAAAATTATTAATTTAATTTTAATGGTTTAGAAAATAATTTTTATGGGAGATTTATTGACTTTAGCCTGTTTTCAATGGGCATTTTCGTTTACAGCTAGAATCACCAGCTATGATATTTTCGCAACAAATTTATCTGAAGCAAAAAGTTCCATGGCTCATTTTTCTTTTATATAATGATTGTTTTTATTCCAGCGTCTGATACCCGTAGACTCCGGAAACGATCTCTTCTTGTACAAAGTCCCCGAAGTTCCCACCAGTAGAGTGTTCACAATACGTCCTTACCTGCCAACTGACGAAGAGATCATTTACAATGTCTGCACCAGGACATGCAAAGACGGTCTTGAAGACCCGATACCATATCCAGACAATCTTAAGAATATACATGCCGATAAGATAGTAGGGCCTTACTTGACACTTCATCCAGAATTCTGTTTCGTAATAGAAGACGATTCTGGTGTAGTTGGGTACGCATGTGCCGCTCCAGATTATAAAAAATTTAGGGTAAAACAAGACCTGGCTTGGATACCAGAAATGTGTGAGAAATATCCGCTGGATTGTGCTAAGAATCTTCATAAATTTGCTCAAGTAAGTAAACATTGATTTTGAATCGTTTTAGTTTTATTAGAATTAACTGTATACTCCAGTTGAAAATGCCACTTAACCTCTAAAAATCATACAAACAAGCTGAATTTTGCCAAAAATATTAATTTTGGGAACCCAAAAACCATGCAAAAAAGTTAACTACTTTTACATCTGGGATTACCCCTAAACCCCCCCCCCCGCCAGTCAGGGGGGTAAAAACGCAAAATAATCGATTTACCAAGAGTCTGTACGCCGCGTTGGCCATATTCTGCCGCGATTGACATGAAAAAGCTGTCGACGCGATGGGTGCCGCTTTTTCTCACTCCGGACAACAAGTGCAATCGTGACACCAATGTAGAGAGTATTTGACGCTGTTTAAGTGCAATCCGAAGAGCTTGGATCCGCTGATACACTCCAGAGACTAGGGATGGGAAAAACCTACCGGTTTTAACCGAAAACCGGTTTTTTTACTTCCCAATAACCGGTTTTACCGGTTGTTTTTTTGTCCCGGTTATAACCGGTTTTTTATTTTTAAAGTAAAAACCGGTTATTAGGTTTTTTAGTTTTATAAGTATTATTTAGGTTGGATTCCAATCATATTTATTACTCTCAAGTAATTATTCCAAACAAAACCATAATTCAAATTTTATTTTATTTTATAAATACAGAATCAAACTGAAAGTACAAACTCATATCAGCCAGAATATAATATTTCGTTGAAAAGGTATTTGTAATTATACATAAAAAGTGATCTGGTACATTACATATTTTTCACACTTGACTCTTGACATTGAAAGTTGGTGAATGGCTTTTTCTGATTACCAAAAATAATAATATTCTGACTATGAATATCGAATTACCGAATAGGAATACGAATCTCCAAGGAATTCGCTACGTTTTTAAAACAATACAGGAAGTATTAAATGAGTTAATGTACCTATTAAACAAATATACAAACGTGTTAAAAGTTATACATGATAAATTTTTTTTGGATGGTAGTAAAAATATAAGATGAATTGCATTATCCAATTTATTTTTAAGTAAAATATTTATCTTAACACATTATGAGCGGGTCGGGTACTAGTACCCGCTTTGGCGGATTGCCACTTATAAGCGGGGCAGGTACAAGTACCCGCTCCGCTCATTGCCGCTTAAAAGCGGGATAGGTATTAGTACCCGTTTAAAATCATCACTTTTAAATGACACATAAGTAAAAGTAATGTTTTATATAATGTACGGACACAGTATATTGGTGTATGTATTATTATTAGGAACGCATTAGACATAACATCCGAAGTAATCATAATAAAATTTGTTTGTCTTTCAAATTTCCTTCATATTATGTTTGTGTTTCATTTCGTTTATTATGATTTCGTTTATTATAATACTTTATTACTCCTATAGTACTACAACGTGTTCTTAGACGAGTTACAACGAGTTTTACGAGTTACGAGTTTTTTTTGTGATGAATTTAAGAATATAAAATTTACATCTGGTCACTCGTTGTTCATGTCCAGTTCTCATATAACTATATCAGAACATTTACTCGTATTTTTATCGTTTTCAAAAACTTCTTTAAACAGTATAAATTTATTTGAATTTTACTATTTCATAAAAATGGATCCTGATAGTGATAGTGATGTATACGCAGATAACTTGTCGGAGATTTCACATGATGCGGAGTTTCCTGAATTAGACAGTGAAAGTGACGAGGAATTATTTAGACCTAGAAGAAATCGAGTTTTGCCAATACCATCCAGCGACTCTGAAGACAGTGATAACGAAGTGTTTGATTGGTCAGAAACTGATAATGTGTCAATAATTGAACAATTCTTAGGACACAGTGGAGTTTTTGTAATGCCAAATAATTCGGAGAGTGTAGTAGATGTGGTTAAGCTATTACTGGAGATGATTTATTTGAATATATGGTGATGGAAACTAATCGGTATCGCGCACAAAACCCAGATTTATTTAGAGACAGAGCAAAATCTGTGAAGTGGAAAGATGTGACTGTGGTAGAATTAAAGAAAATGCTCGGACTACTTCTCCTAATGGGACGAGTTCGTAAGGACACAAGAGACGAATATTGGTCTACAGAAAAAACTATCCAAACTCCAATTTTTGCTGAAGTAATGAGCAGGGATAGATATAGACAGATATGGTATGCGTGGCATTTCTCTAATAATGATAACAGAGATGACAGAGATCGCCTTAAAAAGATTCGCCCGATTAAATCTTATTTCTTACCTAAATTCCAGGAAGTCTACAAACCCGAGAGATAATTATCATTAGATGAAAGCATCATGCCATGGAGGGGTCGCCTATCAAAGTTTATAGTGCATCAAAAATTATAAAGTACGGATTACTTATAAGAATGGTTTAAGAAGCTAGAACTGGTTACATTTGTAATTTTCGTATGTACTGTGGAGAAGGAAGTCGATTACAAGAAACAATTTTAAATCTACTGGAACCCTATTCCCACTTGTGGCATGACATATATATGGACAATTATTATAATAGTGTTGCCACTTGTGAATTACTTTTACAACATAGATTTCGAACTTGTGGCACTATTCGCTTGAATAGAGGCCTTCCTCTTTGTTTGAAAAATGCTAAACTAGCAAGGGGAGAATCTATATTTCGTCGCCGCCAAAACATTTTATTACAATGTTGGCAATCGAAAAGACCTGTTCGAATGATATCAAGTATACATTCAGCTAATATTGTAGAAAGCCACAATATTGACTGGGCGACAAAAGAGCGAATTTGGAAACCATTATGTGTTGTTGACTACAACAAATATATGAAGGGTGTCGATCGCGCCGACCAATACTTATCGTATTACTCGATTGTACGTCGTACCAAAAAATGGACGAAAAGGGCTGTCATGTTTTTCATCAATTGTACGCTATTTAATGCTTTCAGGGTTTTTAAAACATTAAATCCACAATCAAAAAAGAAGTATAAGATATTTTTACATGATGTCGCAAAAGAATGGATTACTGAAATTACTCCTGAAAACAGAGATGATCCTGTACCAGGTACATCTGCTACGTCCAATAGAAATGATCCTCCGGAGAGATTATCAAAAGATGTAAAAAAACACAAATTAGAAAAAATTACTACAGGGGGCACAAAACTAAAGCCTCAGAGACAGTGTCGTGTATGTGCCGAAAATAAGAAGAAAAGCTTAACCTGTTATATGTGCAAATTTTGCAAAGTTTCACTACATCGTGGAGATTGTTTTTTTAGGTACCATACTCAGGAAAAATATTAGAATCTAGCCTTAACTACAGGTAACTTTATAAAGCAGTAAAATATTGTTGTATATGTAAAATTTTATGAAAACATTTTTAAAATGTAGATTTTATTGTGTTTTTATTTTGTTCATAACTTTTTTTAAATATTATTCTGTAACTTATATTAATTTAATATTTTTGAAATGTTGATTTCATTATGTTTTGTTTTAAATTTTGATCATATTTTTTTTTATTCTTTTATATGTTTTGAATAATGTATGTATAACGTTACCTAAATAATTTTTATTCTTATATATTTTTTTAAATATTGGTCCGTATGTATACCTTTAAATATTTTTGAAATGTATCTTCCATTATGTTTTGTTTTAAATTTTGATCATATATTTTTTATTCTTATATATGTTTTAAATATTGTATGTATAACGTTATCTAAATAGTCATTATTCTTATATATTTTTTTTAAATATTGTTCTGTATGTATACCTTTAAATTTTGATCATATTTGTTTTACTCTTATATATTTTATGAATATTTTTTGTATGTATCGTAATATTATTGAAATGTACATTTCATTATGTTTTTTTATAAAATGTTGTTCATAAAGAATTCAAATAATGAGTAATATTTTTATAAACCAAATACATTCCACCTACAATTATCCTACAAAGTTGGTAACCCTAATCCGATTACTGGTAATATGAAAGTAGAATTTATTGTATGAATTTTTTCATTCTCATGTTTTTTTTTAATTTAAAACTAATTAGTAATATTTTTATAAAACAAGTGATAAAATCACCCAGAACTCCACGAACTTCTGAATATAGGTCGGTACTTACACGGATTTTAGCAATCCACCTACAACTAACCTACAAAGTTGGTAACTCTAATCCTATTATAGGCAATACGGATGTAGAAACTTATTCTAGGCATTTTCTATTCTTATATTTTTTTAAAAACTTGTTAGATTTTGAGTTACAACTCTCAAACTTTTATGTATCCGAGCGTATACATTGTATATTCGCCCGCTACGCAACATTGTTGACCATGCTAGATCGCCCGCTCATAATGTGTTAATATTATTTTTTTTAAATCCTATTTGAAGAGTCTGGGAAATTTTTTAACAGAGGATTATATTTTCAAAGGGTAAATTAAATTTGCATCATTTAATTGAATACAATAATTATTGCATATTATTTTTCTACTCTCATAATTTATATTCAATGACAATAGAACCTGAATTATTTCAGTGCTCTCTGTTGAGCAGTATTATAATAATTTTGGTTTTGGTTTACTGTTTTCTACATCTGACTACTGAAATTCACAAATCTTTGGGATTCACACAAATCAAATGTAATTTCGATCCAAGTAATCAAGTAAAGGAGTGCCTAAATAATTAATAACAACGCCGTTTTCTTTTCATCTTCAAGTTTTGAATTTTTCATTTTTACCATGTCGAAATCGTTTGTGTGGAATTTGTTTTCCAAGCATAGCAACATGAGGAACAGTGCTCTATTTGTTTGAACATATTAAAACCAGGAGGAGGCACGACGAATTTGAGGCAGCACCTAAAAAATAAACATCCAAAATATCTGGAAAAATAAGCCAAAGGTAAGCTCATTTCATAGAAAAATTTAAGTAAAGGAATTAATAGGGGAATTTTGTTTTTGCGTAGGATAAAGAACTGGCGGACATCATAACTTGTTTGCATAGAGGCGATCAAGAAGCATCTTCATCTGCTTCTGAGGCGAGTGTGAGCTCTGCTTCATTTTACACATATTAAATTTAGTTGTCAGAGATTGCCTAGAAGATATAAACAATGTAGCATTCAAAAATGCAATAAACGAAATAAAAGCCATAGTCACGGTACAATCCGTACCAACCAGATGAACTCACACTAATGTCCTCATATATAGCTGCAATACTGGCAGATCCCTCGATTAAAAAAGCACCAAGGATAATTTCTGGTTCAGATATAAAACTAATCACTGAAATTGTAACAATTTTATCACCTTTCGATGAGGCCACAAATGAGATCTCGGGTTTCCAGTATATTACTAGTCTTTTTATCCCCCTTCTGTCTATTATCGAAAGATCTTTAAAAAACCTCAAGCCAAATCTTAATACAGCCCAAAAGTTATACCAAAAGCTTATAACTAACCTTCAAGAGAGGGGCACTAAGCTTTTACGAAACCCTCTGCTTTGCCATGCTACAATTACGGACCCTAGGTTCAAAAAACTATATCTGACTCCGTCTATAGCGGAGACAGTCACATCTAATTTAGGCTCGGAAATAAGGACGTACCTTACCGAAATCGGAAAACTTTCTCCTTTCTGCCCCTTCCAGAATAAAGAAGCCAAAGTGAGTTTAAAATCAAACCCTCTTTGGTCTTCACACGATCTGGAGTTGGTGAACAGTGGTTCCAGTTCAAGTTCTCAGGACACACGGATTCAAAGTTCTTTTCCAAATGAACTGACTCTATATCTGAAGCAGCCTTTGCTGCCGAGATTAAGTGTTCCGTTTTCATTCTTGAGCAGCACAGAACCTGTATGCCAGGCTTGGCTTTTATAGCTAAAAAATACATGTCGTTGGTCGGAAGATCGGTGGCATCAGAGAGACCTATGTCATCATTGAATGATATTGTGTCAGACGAGAGAAGCCGCTTAACCGACCAACATATATATAAACGAGCTTTTCTCAATAGGCTTCATGAAAAATATTGGCTAACATAATCTTAAATACATTACATATAATAGGTAAAGTAACATATTTGTTACCTTCTAACCTATACTTTTTTACTTAAAATATTACTTTATTCTACTTATACTTTAATCTTACGCTATATTATATTTAATGATAAATCAATGAATATATAATAATAATAAAATAATAAATAAATATAATAATTAATATAATAAAATGGTTTTATTACAAATTGTGTTTTATTTATATTGATAGTGATGTTCTTTCGATAATACTAATTTGGATCATATTGATATCGAGTTGAATGAAGTATCGCAAACTAAAGTGCATTGTAAATGTAACTTTGTAACATATTGGCTTAAAAAAACCGAAAACCGGTTTTCTGGGCCGGTTATAACCGCCAGGTTAAACCGTAAGCAAAAAAAAACCGGTATAACCGAAAACCGGTGTTTTAGTCAAAAACCGCCATCCCTACCAGAGACCAAGAACAGTCTAAACAGCGGATTTCACCCGACGAACGTGCTCCGAAGAATCGCTCTTATCGGCTAAAATGTTTGGACCACCCTCGTAAAAGTTTCGCCCAAAAATATTTTCTATTGAAGATCATTTAGAAGTATAATACAGTGTTTTTATTTTCTTGTCAATTAATTTAAATAAGTATCGATTTTTGTTAAAACTATTTTGTTAAATACCTTTTTAAATTTTAGGAAGCCGCTTCACATTTTCATACCTTCAAAGATGAAATATTTGTAAGCAGTCCCACACATCCTTCTAGTATGATATGTAGCCTACTACCTTCCGTTTTAGATCAGTCTGTTAGTAAACGATTAGTTACGTGTCTTCTAGCATCTTTAAGGGCGAATGGTAAGTATGGATTTAAACTGTAATATTAAAACATACATTTAAAGCAAAGTAACATTTTACTAATATTTTTAAAGACTACGTCAATCATTAAGTGAAATAGTTTCGTAGGTTATACACTAAAATTAATTTCACAAATGCAATACTAGATTTTTATATTTTTTTTATATAGAGTATGTATTTTTTATATATCATCATTCAATCTTCGCTTATCCACTGCTGGGCATAGATCTCCCTCATAATTTTCCATCTATTTCGATCTTGTGCCTCTTGCATCCAATTCCTATGCCAACGTTTTAGATCGTCAGCTCAACGTGTTGGTGGACGACCTTTTCAAGGTCGTCCATTCAAGCCACGTGACCTGTCCAGTTCCGTTTCAGTGTTGCTACTCTCTCTACTGCATCAGCCACTCCTGTTCCTTGTCGTAGCTGGCGATTTGGGATCTTATCTCTTAGTGAAATGCCCAACATATCACTCTGCATCGCCCTTTGACACACGCGGATCTTTTGAACTATTCTCCTTGTCATGATCAACGTTTCCGCACCGTAAGTCAACACTGGCAAAACACACTGATTAAAGGTTTTTCTTTTAAGGCATATTGGTACATCAGACGATTTGAAAATATGGTTCAGCTTGCCGAAGGCTGCCCAAGTCAGTCTTATACGACAGAGAAGCTCAACGGTTTGGTTATCTTTTCCTATGCGGATCTCATGACCTAGGTATTTATAGGCCATTACCTGGTCTATGGATCTTGTTCCTACGCATTTATCTTCGCTGACTACAAGATTTGTCATGATCTGCGTTTTAGATATATTTATTTTCAATCCCCCTTCTAGCGAGGAAAGGTAGAGCTGATTTAAAAGTTCTTTGGCCTCATCTATCTTATCAGCTATTAGTACAATATCATCTGCGCAAACCTTAGATGTCCCCCTGGCGTACTCCGCATTGTATCGGGAATTTCTGGGTTTGACGATCACCCACTCTAACACTGGCCGTTGCGTTTTGGTATATGTGTTTAATTATATTTATATATATCGATAGTCAATTCGGCATTTTGTCAAGGCTTCCAACATTTTTTGTTTATTTACGGTGTCGAATACCTTTTCATAGTCGACAAATATTACAGCTAGTGGTTTATTATATTCAGTGCATTTTTCTATAACATTTTTTATTACCAGTAGGTGATCGTTTGTTCCATAGCCTTTTCTAAAACCCGCCTGTTCTATGGGCTGATAAAATTCAAATTTTTTTTCTAGTCGTTCCGTAATTATTTTTATAAATAGTTTATAAATATGTGAAAGTAGACTTATGGGCCTGTAATTCCTGAGGTCGGTAGCATCCCCTTTTTTATGAAGTATGATAATTTCTGCGTTATACCACTGGGTTGGTGTTATTGCTTCCTGCAAACATCTAGTGAATAGTTTGACAAGGACCTGCCATAAACTTTTTACAGCCACTTTCAAGGCATCTGCCACTATTTCATCGCCTCCGGCGGACTTATTGTTTTTCATTTCTTGCACTGACCTTCGAACTTCATTGGGTGTTACGTCCGGTAAAATTTTAGATCCCTGATTGATTATTTTTGGTAATGATCCACTCCGGTTACATTACTGTTCTTTGTATAGTTGTTCTTTATACTTACACGGAAAAAATCTGAAAGATGAAAAATATGGGGATAAAATATCAAATCTACCTGCCCTGCTCCTCTACCATTAATATTTTCTTAATATAAAATTTATTTACTAGCTTTTCTAGTCCTATTCCTTTCTTAAAATAGTATATACCTTGGCATTATAAAATTGTCTATATCTATACAATTGTTTTGTACGTTTGTATTCTATGTATAACAAAATGATATTAATGATATAACAAACTGACAGCGACATATTATATCCGTTAACTACACTTTATCTACTCTTTATTTAGTACTGAAGGAGATAGAACAGAGAGATAAAGAGTTATTTAAGAAGTATAGTTAGTTATAGAAAGTTTAATAGCTTTCTATAATTATTAACATTAGATCCAAGTTTTCTTTACTTGTATTTCTCATCCTGTAATAAACTATTGGTGTATAGACCTTGGTATTAGTATTTTACTATGGTCTATACTGATACGAGACCTATTGGTCTCTCTCGACGAATGGCGATGTTGCCAAAATTATCTTATATTATTCAAAATTGGGTTACAATTTCGTCAAATAAAAATGCGAATCTTTAAATTTTTCATGGATTTTAGAAATTTTGGACCAGTATTTATGTCAATTAATGTTTGAATGGCAATATAATCGCACCACTGATCGCCAATTTTTTAAATCAATTCAATGTTTTAATTCAAATATGTAATAAGGCAACCCTGTCGCGTATAAGCTAAGGTGGATCTAAAATTCGTAAGACGTTCATTAATAGGCGTGTCTAAAAAATGTGGAGGGAAGACCAAGGGGAAATATATTTGTTTTCTTTGTCTATTCGCTGAAAGTATGATTTTATATCTGTGTTAGATATCCTGTTAAATTTTACCATACCGACCATAAACTTTTACCTACACTGTATATGTTTTTTGATAAAATCCACAAACACTAAAAATACATTCTAATTTTTTGTGATAATATATTTATTGTTTTATTTTAGGTTCATTTGGTGTTCATGTTATAATGAACACATCCGACAGCTATACACATGCATTTTATGGAAAACTGGGATTCGTGGAGAATACCCATGAGGCTATTAAAGGAAAGATTGTGATGGGCAGAACTTTTTAATATGAAAAACGTTTTATTCTCAAAACGTTGTTGGACTGACGCTGCAGTGAGATAATTCTTCACAATTGTTGTTTTATTTATATATAAGGTTATTATATAATTATATAAAACTATGATTTTTGTGATTTTTAGTATTATACTTCGGTTAAATTTTGTATCACTTTTTGTCTGAAAAATTTATTGTACAATAATAATTTGTGTTAAAAGGAAAAATATAAAGTTTTAAGATGGGTTTTATTTAACCACTAGCTCTAGGACCCGTCTCAGGACTGGATGAATGGCTAAAATTAAGCATTAACGGAATAAAACGAATTTATAAAACCGAACTACAAACATAACTTAAGAATAAGTAACAATAAAACACTGAAAACTTTGTTTTCAATACTTCTCAAGTGACCCATTTTTGGCAAGCGTTTACACTTTATAGTCTTCAATGAAATAGGTTGAGGAGGGGAGAACTGTTTGTCTCAAGTTGGTCATTTAGAATTATAGCTGTGTATTAAAAGAATGATTATGTTCTAGAAGGTGAAGTGCGTATGTAGGATCTGTTTTTCTGTTATTGAAAGCCCTTTTATGTTCTGCAATTCATTTATAAAAATTTCTACCAGTTTGACCGACGAAGTTTTTGGGCACTCGCCACATTTAAGTTTGTATACACCACTGTATAAGTGCTTTTTATTTTGGCTCTTGTTGTTTTTAATATATTAAATAATATATTATTCAAATATATTTATAATATATTAATAATATATTTGGCTTTGCAATATTAAATAAATTAAATTATTTGAAATCACACTAATCACAAAATTATTGGTGTTTGATTGTACACAGATTGTTTTATAGATAGGTACCAAACTTTTTGTTTGTTAGAATACCATCTTTAATAATTGATAGTCTATAAAGTTTGGTAAAAGTTAATTTCTAATTTAGTATTAGTTATCTTAAAACCATAATTATACAGTCATTATTAATTACTCCTTAACGACTCGTTAAGGATATACAAAGAAGTGATAAGAATTATTTCCGAGAATTTCTAATCACTGGATTTCAAACGAGTTCGTAATTTAGTCTCATTATATTGTCGAGTTTCAACACGAAAGGTGTTACCACACATATTAGAACTATTTTGTTTGATGGAGAAAGGAGATGGTTAAGTGTAGTAAAAGTAAACAGATCAGATTGACACCAGAATCCAAACGAATAGTTTACAATGTATACTAAGTGATATAGAAATCCGAACACCCAGTTTAAATGATTTTATTTCAATAAAATTTGGTGTAATTTATTTATCTTACTGAAAAAAAAAAGTGATAAAGTTTTTAGCCTTATCAGTTGGAGATTCCGGTTTCTATAAGTTTTGTTTTTAAATTCACTAACAATCTAAAAATGAATATTTCAGCCGCAGTAAAGATCCAAATTTGGCGGATTGTGGCCCTTGACATTCTTCACGATTTGTTACGATGCCTAGAGTACGGAAACGTGTACGATTTCGTCAACTTTGAGTTTGATAGGGGCCGTATAATGGGACTTCGGGAAGCTGGACTTTCTTCTCGGGAAGTTGCAGTTAGAGTGCAGACACACAAGTGTAGACACCGTGGTTAGGTGTTGTCAGATATGGCTTCAAGAAGGCCATACGCAAAGAGCAAGATTATTGGCCTTAAGAGACCGTTTCTCCACTACCAGCACCATTGAAAATGGATGGTTTGCAGAATGCGGAAGACCTATTAACATGCGAAGTGTTTACCGACGAATGGAAGGGGTCCTCCCTTTAACTAAAGAACACCGCCGTAATCGCCTTCAGTGGTGCAGATAACGGTCACTCTGGAATCAGAAATGGAACAGTATTGTCTTTAGTGATGAGTCTCGATTTTGTTTAGGCATGCACGATGGTCGAGGGAGGGTTAGAAGGCGACGTGGTGAAAGAAGGAATCCACACTTTTTTGTTGAAAGACATGTTCATCACACTGTTGGCGTTATGGTTTGGGGTGCTATAGCTTATGGTTCCAGGTCACCTTAAATCTTCATCAGAGGAAACATGAACGCGCAGCGTTATATTCAAGAAGTTCTAGAGCCCCACCTTGACACCCTGGCAAATCCAACTTTCCAACAAGATAATGCCCGACCACACGTTGCAAGAGTCACAATAGACTTCTTTCAACATAATGATGTCACAATAGTTTTGTTCGCGGAGACAGTCCCTAACTACTTTTGGATAAATTTCGGACCGATTTGGGATTAATGTTGTGCGCTTGCGCGATTAGTTACTAGTTTTTAACAGCTATTTCTCCGCGAACGATTTCCGGACGTTTCTGACTGTTTCTAACCCCAAAACATCAACACGCCGTTTTGTTTATATATACAATGAGGATCACAGACGTTTGACAAAAATTTATTTTAAAGACGATATTGCTATATTGCCAAAATGTGTAAGTAAAAAATAGGGTACTAGCATGGAGTAATAAACAATTGTAATAATAAGCAATAATAAATAATAATAAATTGTTGTTTATTCTCTGGTACTAGTATAGTAAGACGGAACGATATCTATGGAGATGAAATTTATATCAATGACCCTGAACGTCCAGAATTTCCTCTAAATCCTTATTGCTGGATGTAAAATGATCTATAAATAGCATTAATTTTTTAATACTGATAAATATATGTACCGTTTTTAGTTCCATATTTATAATGCAATAAAATATTAAATGACTTTTTTATATTTTTTAATTTATATCGCTAAAAAGATTTAGATAGTTTTAGTTATATATATTTAAAGATGTCGAAACGTAAAGATTATATTGCCACTTCTCAACAAAAATAAATAATAGGTTAGTTAGTATTAACGATTGACCAAAAAAAAAACAAACACAAAACCTGACAATTTACAGTTTCTATAGCGCTTACGCTAACTAAAAATCCGCACTCTAATCCATGAACCAAATTGACTGATCATGAACCAGTTTGAAACTCTCCGCGAACATCGAACTCTTTGTCAAAGTCCTGGATTTTTAACACCGCGAACGCCTGAAAACAGAACTGCGCATGCGAACCAGTCAGGGACTGTCTCTGCGAACAAAACTATTGTTAGCATGGCCACCAAGATCTCCCGACTTATCCCCAATTGAGCACGTGTGGGATATGATGGGTAGGAGATTGATCAAATTGCAACGTCCTCCTCAGACTCTACAAGTTCTTCGAGAGGAGTTGATGGTTGCCTGGAATAAGATACCACAAGAGGACATTGACCACCTGATCAGAAGCATGCCTATGTGCGTTGGAGAATGCTTAACACATTGGAGTGCATCCACACATTATTAAAGGTAAAAGGGCTTTAAAGCAATGCGATCATTTTAAAATTTTAATCATTTACTTATTATGCTTCATTAAGTACTTATACAAAATTTTATTAAAATAAAATCATTTAAACTGGGTGTTCGGATTTCTATGTCACTTAGTATATTTAAATATATGCAAATACTATTTCCTGAAGATCATCGAACTAGTATTTAACAACGTGTGAGTGGAGCATCTTTACGTACAGTAGAAAGGATCATTCAACAAGCGAGTATGTTAACAAAAGAAGAGTCAAATAATACACTAAAATTTCCAGCTACAACGCTTGCTAAAATGAAAGCAACCGTGACAGACTTGAGGGAGTATGACAAACAGTTCATTAGAAATACCATTCATCATTTTCATGAGACTGAACGTTGTCGTGTATCATTGAAGATTTTGCAGAAAAGGCTTGAAGAAGTGTGCGAGTGGGCTGGAAATGTGAGTTCTCTCTATAGAATTGTGAAAGATTTGGGATTTAAATCGAAGAAAACGAAAGATAATCGATGTTTATTAATTGAACGGAATGATATTCGTGCTCTACGCATTAAATATTTGGACAAAATTAAATATTATAGAAGCGAAGGTAAGTCAATTGTATATGTTGATGAAACCTATGTACATGCAGGACACAATACTCCAAATAGCTGGTAGATGACTGGCAAAGGATTGTTCAAAACCATTTCAAAAGGAAGTAGGTTGGTTATCAAAAATGGTGGTGGGGAGATGGGTTTCATACAGAATGCCCTTCTGATTTTTAAGTCAGGAGCTAAGACAGGAGATTATCATGACGATATGAGTTCACAAAATTATAAAAAATGGATGAAAGAACAGTTAATCCCCAATTTGCCCGTGGGATCTGTTGTTGTTATGTTAATGATAATGCGTCATATCATAAAGTACAAATTACAAATTAAAGCACCCACCAGTAATTCTAAAAAATGGATATATCTTAATTGACAGAAAAACATTTACCATTTGTAACGTCAATGTTAAAAATGCAATTGTATGATCTCATGAAACGACACAAACAAGATCATATCCAATATAAATTTGACAAAGTGCTCCAAGAATGTGGTCATGTTTCTTTAAATCATTCGCCATATCATCCAGACTTGAACCCTATAGAAATGGTTTGGGCGCAAATAAACAATGAAGTTGCAAAACAAAATGTTTATTTTAAGTTAGAAGACGTAAAAGTGTTGTGGAATAGGAATTTGCTACAGTAACAAGAAAGTGTGTGAACATGTTGTCAAGGTTGAAGATAAGTATTTGGAAACTGAACGTCGTATAGATGTAATTACTGAAGAAATAAGGATTGATTAAAATTATTCTAGTGACGACGACAGTGCATCTGATTATGACAGTGAATAATATAATTTAACATTACGATGTACCTATGTAACCAATGTGCATATAAGTTTTCCAAACTGTCCTGAATGTATGTATTATTTTTTTACTTTATTGCAATCATTTCGTATATTCTTCTATTTAACTTTGTGACGTTTAAGTAAGTAATAATATACATAATAAAGGCTTTAAAGATAAAACAAACGTTGTAATTAATATTTATTAATATTGTAATACGTATCTACGGTTTCACATACAGACAATATAATGTGATAAGTATATTATAATAATATGTATTAAAATGTAGTACAATATTGCCAAAAATATAATCTAATATCATTGTTTAATAAATTGTGTGTACCTATCTTTAACAATTTTATTTAAATCATAAGTATTTTTTGGAACTTCACTGCTTTGTTTGGCGAGGCTTTACTGTTTCTAGAAATTTCCGTCACTAAACTACTTAAAACAAATTTAACACTTATGTAGTTTTTCTCCACGGTGCACTCTCAAATGTGTTTTTAAATTAGTTGCTGAAGTAAA